AAGAGCGACGACAACAATGACAGGAAGGACAACAGCCAACGACTGAAGACTACAACAACAGCAGCAGCAGCAGCACGAGCAGCACGAGCAGCACGAGCACGAACAACGACCACAGCCACAACTAGAACCTGCGCTACAACAACTAAGTATATAAACCACCACAACCACCACCTTTACCATAGCGGCAACCACAACAACACCACCATGGAGATGATGCATAGTCAACACCATGGCAACCACCAGAACCTCCACTCGCTTGATAACAGGTACCCTATCAGATCCTATCAGTATCACCGCACAGCCTGCCGCTCTTCAGCTGCTGTGCAAAAGCAACAATGCGACAGCTTTGTGGCACTGAATCCGACAATCCGATTCAGTAATAGCCTTCTACATGGTGTCAAGACCTACCTTAAGAGATTGGTACAATTGCAAGATATACAATTACAAGTAGAAGTAGAAGTCCAGGTACTGTGAACATTTGTGAACCCAATATTGACTGTAGATTGTTCTCGAGGTAAGGTCAGGTTTTCAGCTACAGGCCCCCGACCCAGAAAGTTCATGCTCGTTTCCACTTCCCCAGCATCCAGAAGCTTGTGAGCAAGACGAAGAACAGCCAGCAGCTACCAGAACAGTTTCGGCAAACCGATATTCAAGTCTTGCCACAGCACAAACTCGTTTCAAAGACCTTGCACAAAATCACGCTTTGTAATGCATGCTGGACAAACCAAGGTCTAGCTGCAGTGGAAGGACGGAAAGCTGCGCGGAAGCTCGAGCAATCGATGTGGGAGTGGATTTGATTCATGGCGTCCAGTTCGTCATGCCTTTGCTTCGTCCTTGTTTTGACTTTGTCATGTTGACTCTGGCAATACTATGCATCCACGTCCCAGGCCTGGCAAGACAAGGCAGCCGTTGAAGCATTCCAGGATCAGGAGGCAGTGGAGCGGTCTTGTTCATGCAACCATGAATCGGGTGCAATGCTGCTTTTGTGAATGTTTTTGTTGTGTTTCAACATGTTTCAATGCAAGTGGTTTTGTTTAAGCAGTGTTCTCTTGTATAAATGGCTCCCCCCACCTGTTTGCTCTCAATGCCTCGTCCAAACCTCTACTGAGTAGCTCTACTGTACCTCTCAAGTTCCAGAGTCCAATTTTGAGTTTTAGTATATAGTAGTTTCTTGTTTTTTTGTGTTTTTGACCTCAGTTTACTCCAATCCCTTTTGCCCGCCTTCCACCTACCAACTCTTTCCAGATCCCAATGGACAAAATAATCAACAACTCAAAAGGGGTGCCACTAATGCTCAGAGTAAAACATGCTCAGAGAATTTGCCACGGAGAAGTCGAATCTTAATTGAGAGTCAGATCGGAAGAAGACTGAACATGAATGGAGACTTGATTGCTTGGGATATTGCTCTAGTACTGTCCGACCTTCTTGACCAGCACTTTTTGGGTGGGCAAGCAGCATCTCCTCTCATAGATGCCTTTTTGTACCACTCCAGTCAATTCCTTCACGAACTCGAAGAAAGAGTGCTTCCATAGCCACTCTACAGCGTCCTTGCTCCTAGTAGCGATGCCCTTTGCTCCTAGTAGCGTCCACATGTCATAGCTTCAAAAAAAGTTCATGTGGCCAAGGACCGCATTTTTGCGACACTGGCAATGGAGTGTTTCTAACCTCCCTAGTCCGTAATTTGAAGCACTGGGATATCATCCAATGCACTTAAACTCGAACTTAAACTATATATTCATTATATAGCTGTAATGAAGGTGAATTTGATATCAAGCCACCTTGTGGATGTGTTCCTTGAATTTAACTCTTGCCCAAGCTCAGCCAGCAAAAACTCACCAAATAAAAATCGAATTCCTCCCCGAAAGAGAGCGAACTTATATCACACTTAAGCGAATTTGGCCTTCATCCTGCTTCATCCTCCACAAGAAGGCACCGAAGGTACCTGAAAGACAAGGAAAACACTACCTCTTCGCACTTGAAATGAAGCTTGACCTCGGCCCGAAAGTCTAAATCTCGTGTGGTGGCACCTGGATCACACAGTCAAGGTTTCCTTCCATGTCCTATTGGCTGCGCATATAGTTTCAACATACGAGCCAATACCTATTTCCAGAGAACACGCCACTTGGATACAGTTTGCACAGCATGCAGAGCCTATATATATATATGTACACCAATACTATAACAGCTTCAAGGTGTCGTGGTTTGGGAACACGCATATGTTAGGTGTTCCAAATTCCGAAAGTGCCAATCATATTCACAGACATGTTATGTGGTTCCTATGCGTTTTCTGACTCCTGCGCCGCGAGTATAGTCAATCATGAATCATGGAGTTTGTTCACGAGGATTTCAGATTTGAGAGTCACCAAACTCTTTCAATGCTTTTCCGGTCAGCGGCTGCCTGAGGTGCCAGCCAGCCGTCGCTTACCCTTGCACCATGAAGGACAGCATGGTGCTCCAGAGCCTGGTGCTTCTTTAGCCCAGCTCCTAGCTCTGCCAAGCTCTGATTTCGCTGAGCTGAGTCGGGATATTCCTTTACAAATGTCATTCTAATTGCCTAAAGTGGGCCTAAAGTTTAGCTTGGGCAGGTCATACGTTTGGAATCCTGCAACGTTTTTTTGTATACAGGCACATTTAGCCATGTGCACATTGCCAAATATATAAATGCATACCCAGACAGATGCATCATGACTGACACCCGGCAATGCGCTGCTGAGATGGCAAGGGTTTTGCACGTGTTCTTTGTTGTTTTGTTATAACACATTATGTGCAACATCGGCCGAGCAGGTTTCTTAGGAGGGTCCAAAAACTGAATTTCAGGCGGGTATACCTGGTGGTGGCAGCAAGGAGGAAGACACCTCAGGGCAGCAAACTTGGAGACATGTGCCGCAGTACTTGAAATGACAAAAAATCAACAGACCGACAACGGAACAAGAAAAAATACTTGAACATGTCATATATATGAGTATATGTATATATATATATTATTCTTTTGTTATAGATTTTATGAAATGTGGATTTCGCTGCTTTTTGCTGGTGCAGCCATAAGTGCATAGATGGGTGTTGGTGCTCTCCAGCTGCACCCAGGGAAGATGAACTCCGAGCTGCAGTCATGGCATCGCTGGAAGCTGCGAAAAAATAGCCAGGAGGGTGCCAGCTTTGGCAACAATGTTTGAAAAGAAAAGATAAGAAACCTGATGAAGGAGACTGATGAGTAGTTGACTAGTCCGTCACTAGTGGGAGTGACTTGGAGCTGGAGCCAAAGCATCCGGTTCTATGGGCACAAAATCACTGCCAGGAAGTGATTCTTCCAGCAGGTTGGGAGATGCAAACAACGTTTGGGGAGCCCGGATTACAAAGTTGCATCACTCGAAGAAGAGCATGGTTCCATGGCAGGTTGCAGCAGTTCCATCGTCCATGGTACTTAACTTGCAAATTGTGGATAGATCTTATTTTCATGATGGACGCGAGTTGGAATACTGTTGTAGATGCATGTCTTTGTCTTGCTTTTTTTTGTTTGTGCGCTGTATGGCGAACTTCCGCCTTGGGGTTGCAGACACTTCGGACGGTGCAGAAAGCTGCTTCATTCGCAAAAACTATTTGAACTCGACATAATCACATCATATCACCCTCTCTCAGCCTGTATCAATCACCTGAGTCACTTCAACAACATGTGTATCGATCCTTGCACTGCCCTCACATCACCACGACTTGTATCGCCACTGATATCCAGTACCTATGATCAGCACTCAGATTACAAACACCCAACAAACAACACAAATTATCACGGCGTACCAGCAAACACAAAATTAAGATGAAGTATATAAATAACCAGCAGCTGACCAGCAGCTATATCACAATGCATCAACAATCACATCAGAAATGCTAGCATAATCGATACTCAGATTAATCGATACTCAGATCACCACTACACTGTCCTACATTCACAACTCCCAACACCAACTTTTTGTCTCGTTTCCGGTCTTGTCCACTTGCTCTTGAGCTTCCTAGGAGACATCCTGCCATTTGGAATCGTGATTTTTAAAGCGTTGTGTGGAGCATGTAGTCAAAGGTGCTTATGCGTCTTGCATGCGCATATTTTGTCAGCCGACTTCTGTACTTTTCCATTCACGACAAGATCAAATCAGCCTTTTACTTTTGCCAATTGAGTCATGCAGTACTGTAAGCCAAGGAACAACATTGACATGCAGGAATATCCCACGGGGAACTAAGCAAGCAACTTGAAAGGAATCGCACTTTAAAGCAGACTGGAGCACCGACATTCTGAAGGCCTGAAGGGCATGAATTCTATGTCAACCTTCGCGCGAACTTGACCCAATGGCAGGCGGCAAGACTCGTTTCCTTCTCACCTTCACTCAAGTTTGTTAGCATGCTAAATCAAAGCGGTTCAGGGGCATTTTTCCAGCTTTTGTTGGCCCTGGTCAGAATTCAGGTGCCAAAGTTGCCACCGCATTGGGAAGAACGCTTTTCAAGGAAAGGAGAGGCTGGGCCGGTTTGGGATCAGAAACACATCCGAAACTACGATATGCAATGGCACCGCTCTTGGAGAGCCACGAGCATGATAGAGCCGGTTTGTCGACGAACACCAGGAAACTGTCAAAGATGGAAGCTGCAAAAAGGCAGAACTTGGAAATTGTGAGTACTCAACCTGGTTCGCTTTTTGCAGAGATGGCTCCGGGGTACAACAGTCATCAACAGGTTCTGTCAGACAAGGAGACCAGAGGCTATCTAGAATGATGAGTACGCTGCAGAGAACTTTGCAAGAAATCATATGTATATATGTGTATCTGTTATGTGTGCAATTATATATATAGCTTATATGTATATACATACATATGATTTACTGTCGTATACAATAGAAACACATATCTAGTTCATTAGCTCACATCCATCTCATTTTGCAGGAAACGTAATTGAACTCAAGCGCAGGTCTTGAACCTCCAAAGAGAGATCAAGACTTGGATTCACGTGCACTCCACACGATGGCAATCAAGAGGTCAATGAAGGTCAAATGGGTGGCGACCGTCGGCATTTGTGTTGCAGTTTACGCCATGTACGTTGAATACAAGCTGCAAGATCCTTTTTATCAACCTGCCTGCAGCGCTTCGTGGACCGGAGGTGACTGTGCCACAGTCTTCAAGAGTGCGTACGGTCATATCCTAAGCCATTGGGGAATTGTTTCGAAAGGATCTGCTCTAGATCTTTCCCTCCCAGTCTTGGGGCTGGTGCTTTACACCAGCTATTGGTGGGCAATCTCAATTCCCCCTTTTCCATTTCGAGAGGAGCTGTTCCTTGGCGCAGCAACAGGAGGTGCATGTTTTTCTGTCTACTTGCTGTACGTCATAAAAGTCATCCTGCAGGACAGAAAGGGTTAAACGGAAACCTGTCAACCAATGTTAAATATGCTTTGTGGATGGTCATGATAAAGCCATTTTTGGTGCCTGGGTTCTGTAGCGACCATGTGACCCTCTACTCGAACGATGTGGGAGGTGAGGCTGGGGAGCGAGAATCGGTGCAGGGACCGGGTAATGATACTATACGATACTATACGCAGTCTGCATAATCATCCCAACGGACTAGGTCTTGAAGGCACAGTAGCCTTGTCAGAGCTGGGGCACGGGCTGTTCACACCATGCACACAGACGGCACAGACTATAGGAACAAACTCTGCATTCTGTCAGCGTTTGGGACCTGTCGTCAGTGGAAGGCGCTTTTACATTGTGGGGCAGGGCAGGCCTTGCTTGGCCTTGGCAGCACTTCGCAACATTCGTTAAGTACAGAGCACAGTCCACCAGGGTCAAAAACTACATTGCCAAGACCAACTTGGCACCTGATGTAGCTGCCCTAAAATGGCCACTGTTGTGTCTCAGTAGCAGAAAAAAAACTTGAGTGCACAAGTCATATATGAACTGTGTCGGGCATGGATCACAGGAAACAGTACCACATTTGCCGAGATGTTCAGTTGCATGACCCAGGAAGAAACCGAACAACATCGAACAACTATATTGCCTGTCTGCCGTCAGGCAACAGGATCAACTTGTTTGGGGACAGGGATCGTATAAGGTGCATGTCAACAGATTGTCATCATTTGCACAGGAGTTCTGCATTGTATGTTTCAGTTTCCACTGTTGCAACTTTGCCATGCTGGTGCTCGCAATTCTGGAATACCGGGCGCCGGAGATCAAGCGGATTACTGACTAGCTGGCTCTCATTGATTTTTTGGACACCAAGACAGAAGATTGAGGCAGAGAAAAGGCTGCACCAAATAGCAGGACGTTCAAGAGACTTCATCGAGTTTCACATGGAGATCGGGGCACATTGCCATTGTTGTGCTTGACTTTGAAGCATTGCTGCCGCCAACAAAAAGAGAATTTGTCATCTACTGTAATTTGCCACCAAAGTCCTCAGTGAATGCATTCTTCTAGAATGTTGTTGTTCCAGTAACTAGTTGTCTCGATTCTATTGTAACTGATTGAGACCTCAACTGATTCAACGAAGCCACGTTGTAGCACGTGGCAAAAAAAATGAGTGCACAACACAACCCAATCTGTTGACCAGCTTGTGGTGAAACCTAGGTCTGAGGTATTTGGATACTGGGCACACTGTACACATTGCAGGTTCTTGAAATATTAAACATACTCAAGACTTGACGCACGGCATTTTGGTGAGTTGCAGAGTTGCATGGTTAAGTTTTGGTCATGTTTCAACTAGTACAGTAAACCCTCGGACCCCGACCTTGACCTTTTTGCTTATTGTAGGCTTTGTGGGTGCGTGTTCATAAACAAACCTACACTATCCTGACAAGAGTTGTGCTTGTTGAAGACCCTTGAAATTCTTACATTGATCAACTCTTGGTATATGGCACGTCGAATTTGCACCCACAGCCTTGTAATGTTATAACATCGAAACAGAGTTTACGGTACAGGACCCGGGAAGTCAAACAACACGGACGCCAGAAGAAGATGAGACTTAACTTGTCTTCACAGGATTCACAGGACTGTAATTCCTGCAGAGTTGACCCCTGTTTGGCTTTGACAGATCTTCAGATCTTCACCAGATCATGTGTTGGATTCAATTCGGTGTGTTCACTCGATGCGTGCGTGGCTCCAGGTCTATTACCTGAGCCTTTTTGACGGGCGAACACAGTGGGAGTGGTGTCGACTTCAGAGGTAGTTTTTGCTTTCGGCCAATGAGAAAATGAACAAAACATCATTGCTTTTCATTGTCTTCTGGTGCAAAGATTTGAAGCAGGCTAGGTCAGGTTTGCTCAGGCCTCAGGAGAATGCTGCAGCCTTCGAGCGGCGCTTGGAGGACCCATGCCGAAGATATTGTGGATGATATTCAGAATTGGCATTTGAGGTTTGACAAACTTCGCAGTGTAGACATGCGGCATGCGCCTGTCGACACGGCATTTGTCCACAAGACAATCTCCAGGAGGCTCCAGCACCTCCAAGGACTTTGGCTTTGCCAGGCTCCCCTGCAAGGACGTTGGCTTTGCCAGGTTCCACGCAGGTGCGCAAGAGTCTGATCATGCAAGCCTGCGCGGCCAGCGTTACTTAGTTTCTTGCTTTGGCAAACCGGGGGAGGCCTACATAAGGCCAACACAGCGATCGTTCACCAGCCGAGCCAGTAGGGCATCGGACCGATAACGTAAGCTGTCCGCCTCGGTTGAGTATGATGCTGGGCATCTATAACGTTAAGGCCATTAAGGTATTGCCCTAGCTTTCGTTTACCTCTCGCTGGCACTGTACAAGTACAGCAGCTTGTAGAAGGTTTCAAGATGTTTCAAGTATGCATGAGGGTATCAATGTACTTGGCGCCAGGAATTTCAGCAGGAGGAGCCAGATGATGCCTCAAGTCAAGCTTCTGATGAGTCCAGCTTGGGTATTGCACTTGATGAGGCCTGAAAGCATTCGCTGTTTGATACCCTGAGATATCCATATTGACTGCGCTCAAAAAGCCCTACTCAAAAAATATAGATAAACGTAAACTTTTAAGGCTGTAGATGTGTTTTTAAGTTTTCGTTTAGAAGCGGGCCCCCAGCAGAATATGGTGATACAGCAAGGCAGCGCTAGATTGGCGCTAGGTTGGCGCTAGGTTTCTTCATAACAGGATAGTAAGCAGGAAAAAGAAGAAACAAGCAGAGAGCAGGAAACAGAAGAAGCAAGACAAGAAAAAGAAAAGCCAAGAAGAAGAAGAAGAAGAATGCACAACAAGAAGAAGACAAGCAAGCAGGAAAAATAAGAATCTGACAGGATAAAGAAATCGACGGAGATTTTTGCGCTAGGCTGGCGCTAGATCCGCGCTAGCACCGCGCTAGACGACGGTCCATTTCTTGACAATTTGCCCATCCAACATCCAAATCTTTTGAGTCAGCTCTTACGTCCTTTCTTACTATGTCGTTCTGAAGATGTCTGAGAACAAAAAGTGGAAACAACTGCAGGAGTCCAGCAGCAGCAGCAGCAACAGCTCCAACATCTCAGCAGTCCGCGCTAGACACCTCTCACAGTTTTTGCAGTTCACACGCCTTCATGTCTAACATCCCTGTGGTTTGAGTGTGGTTGAAGTTTAAAGGAGATTTAGAAGCGGGCCCCCCATGGAATTGCGACGAGTGCACCATTTTGGGAAAAGACATTTTGGAAACCAACCAATATGATTTAAAAGAGCATATGGTTTTAAAGATGAAGACAAGCAGCAGAATGCGTTTTGTGTATGTATATATATATATATATACTTATACGTGTTTGGGGATTGTGTGTAGGCTGTATAGGGGGGCTGGGAACGGTACTAGTAGAGCAGTAGAGTATGTAGAGCGGCATACTGTTCATGAATCCGCACAGCCCTTTGCGCGTTCTTTTTCAAGCTTGACAGAAAAGGGCCGTGTCGTGCCCAAGCGCATGATCGAAACATGTCATGACAACATGCTCACACACACACACTTAGATCAATGCTCGCAAGAGCTGTATCAGTTGATGAAGTCCCGGATTACTGCAAGTAGACCTTTACACTCAATTAGACCTTAACTTGAGAATCAACGGCAGGAAGTGCTGGGTCGGTTCAACAGAATGTTTCAACACATCGCATTAGCTCTTTAGAATGGGTTCGAAAATTCTTGCAGGTACGTTCCTAAGGCGTCCCTCAGGAGTGTCACAGTCTCAAACCACCGTCTTCGTTGGGCAGTTGATGGTAAGAGACTCACTGCCCCCCCTGCGCTGCACATGCAAGTGCTAAACATTGAATCGAATTACAAACGGTAGGTTCCTTGGTGTGGTCAAGTTCCTTAGAGACAGGCTTTGACACACACAAAAAGCCATCATTTGGCGCGCTCTCATGATTGGGGTGGAGGAGGGAAGTTGGTCATGCAGTAATATTCAATTGACACTCTGGCTGCGTTCACAAAAGGTCAAGCAGGGCGACGGATCGTTTTGCACGGATCACTCGCAAGCACTGTGCTAGGTCATGCCCTTTTTAGGCGTATAAGTGGGCTAGTTGAGCAGCGCTCGCTCAGCTGCCGAGGCCGGGTAGGTGTAGTTGCGGACGAGGTGGGCCCCTAATCTTCCATGGGGCATTTGGTGGACGGTAGGTGATCGCGCGTTGAGTGAGGTCCACATCGAAGCCAAGGAGGTGCATGTCCTCCACGGGTTCCAGCTTCACTGGGTTGCCGAAAAGAATCAGGATGTATCAAGGCTTGGATGCCGATGTGGTTCTTCGGTGTCGATGGCGACGGTGGTGTTGCCCAATGTGAGACAATTGAATGGTGTTGCCTGTGGCAAAGAAATGTCGATGGTGAGTGGATGTGTCATATGTGAGATTACACTTTGTGGTGACACTCTTGACCGCGTCCAGCAGGCGGTCTTGTGGGACTGAGTTGAGGAACCCCACAAGGTCGTCGTTGATGGTATGTAGGGTGATGCGTGACGGTGCGCGGTTGAGATAGTGATGGAAGTGTTGCCAAAGTTGTGGAATGGAAAGCTGGCTTGGTGCTTGGGGTAGAAGGCGAAGGATCATGGTTGTTATTGCGGTGGAGACGGCGCTAAGAAGAGTACCGAAGTGAAATACGAAATGACGGCGCGGCCTTTCGGCCATTGTTTCTTGGCTTTGAGGTGGACAATGCCATAAGGTATGGTGAACTTGCCACGAAAGCCCCATCGGTATTTCCTGCGTAGGTGGCCTGACGAGGCCTGCTGGAGATGGAGTCGAATGGTGTCGGTGGTGTGGTCTGGAAGGGGTTGGAAAAGTTCAGGTGATTGCCATCCTTGGAAATAGATCTTCGGACAAAAGATCCGCAGGTGTTGTAGTTCATGGTCGGTGCGATGAAGGACGACCTGATCGCCAAGGTAGTGTTGCAACTGCTTGATGGATCGCGCTGTGAATCGTGGCTCAATGTGTAGGTGTTGAAGGTGTCGCTGCCACTGGCAGTTCGTGGGTGGTGTGGGTTGATTTGGTAGTTTGCTGAGGCGCGCGCAGCCGCAAGGGAGCTGATCCTCGTGAGGAGGTTGGTGGAAAACTTGCTCCCAACGGCGATGGTTGTGAAGTTGGGTGCGCAGTGTGTTGCGAGCTGCCTCCCTGAGTTTGCATGTGGGAAGGTGAAATGGTATGGCAAGGCGCTTGCGCTGGTGAAGCAGGCCAGTGACCCATCGTTAAGTGTTCTGTTGAAAGGTGGTTTGCGCTAGAAATGGAATTGCGAATGGCTGGTTGGTCTTGGGTTGCGTGAGGTTGCCGTACTTCAAGGATTCGTTAAGAATGCGCATGGCCTTGCCACGTCCTGGTTCTTCAAGGCTGGCGGCCATACGTCGAACGGCGTAGACTTCGAGGTCGGAGTAGCGACCTGAGCGGAGCTGGCGTGCTGTATGAAGCTCGAGTGGATATGGTCAGGTTGCTTTGGACAGTGAGTGCATGTAGTTTGTGGGGTGTGTTTAGATCTGGTTGCTTGGTGGTATAGTCGCCGTCGCAGTCGACGGAAGAGTCTGTAGTGGTTGGCGAGGCGTGGGTAGAAGTGGGGACAATGGCGTGTGAATCGGCTGCTTGCCCCCGTGTCAGCATTGTCTGTGGGCTGTGGTGGCGGTGTCGTAGACGCTGGCTGTATGTTGGATGTATGTGGGGTCGCGCGGTGGATTGGCGACAGCAGATGGAGATGGGAGTGTTCCCTCCACTAATGCGGCGGTCTGCTCGGAGGTGGATGTGTGCGTGGGGTCAGTTGCTGAGAGTGATGAAATGGGCTGAGGCGGCTCGGAGACGGTGTCCCCTGATGGAGGGTTTGGGTTTGAGTCCATTGCCAGCGGTGTTCGCGTGGGAGGTGCGGTGGGAATGGACTCAAGCGGCGTAGGATGTGTGGTGTCTGGGATTGCAATGTTGCTCAACTATGGTCACAGGGCCGGTCTGGGTGCCCAATGTGATGCCTGGGGGCGTGGCGCGGGAAACTGGAAGGTGATAATGTATGGGTGTAGGTGTAGGAGTTGCGGTGCCATAAGCAACTGGCATCGTTGGAGGCGTCGGCGCTGTAGGATCATGCCATGGGTAGTGCGTGGCTTCAAGTTCGAGAGATGAGACAATGGAGTAAGTGTCGATCGGTCAAATCGAGCGCTAAATGCGCGTTAAAGAGTTTGAAAATTGAGAGTGATTACTTAGTAGCATGTCCTATCAGCTGTGAATACTCAGACGCATGATTCATGCCATTCTGCGGGTGGTTCAGTGGGCCCTGCGGCATCCGTTCAGCATTCTCGAGCAAGCGGCTGAATCAGCTGTGAACGCAGGAACAAGAAGTCAATCAAGGATCACCCTTAAGGGCATGTGCAAGACGCGCCCCTCGATGGGGATCACACCACAGACCTCAGTGGGAACCTGTGGCGAGACACACTTAGGTCAATGCTTGCAAGAGCTGTAGATGATGTTTCGGGTTATTGCAAGTAGGCCTTTACACTCCATTAGACCTTGACTTGAATCAACGGCAGGAAGTGCTGGGTTGGTTTATCAACACATCGCATTAACTCTTTAGAATGGGTATAAACTTTCTTGCAGGTACGTTCCTAAAGCGACCCTCAGGAATGTCACAGTCTCAAACCACCGTCTTCGTTGGGCAGTGAATGGTATTCGTAAGAGACTCACTGCCCCCCGGCGCTGTACATGCAAGCGCTAAACATTGAATCGAACTACAAATGGTAGGTTCCTTGGTGTGGTCAAGTTCCTTAGGGACAGGCTCTGACACACCCCTTTTTGTAGGATGCTTCATCAAAAAACAACAAGCCTCTCGCTCAAGCGCGCTTGCCGTTCACAAGGGCACATCGTTCTCCCGCCTGTGGTGGCATGGGGTTGATCATGCCGGTGTCCTGTGCGATCTGCCAGTACGATCTGCCCTTATCCTACCTCAGCAGGTGGAACCTGAGTCTCTATCACCAAGCTCGCCTGCCGGATCACCACCCAGCAACCCTTCTCCTGGTGTAGAACACCGGTGTCCTTCCGCGTGCCAAGCTCTGCCGCTGCCTCCCAAACGAATCAACCTGAAGCCGCAGGCCCTGGCCGATTTCCACCTCAACCATCTCCCCGCCCGACTCGTGGGAAGTGTCTCACTGAAGAGGACATGGTTGCAGGTGCCCTGTACTACACTACACCTTCTTGCTGGTGACCTGCTGCGCGGTGGTGGATGGCAGGTCGCTCTCACCTCCTTTGGCTGCTGCGGACACGTGGAAATGGCTTCGTTTGTGCTCCCCTTTTTGTCGTCAGGATTTCGAGGTCTCCGGTCAACCGACCCCAGTGGATGCGAAGCCCCGCTCCCAACTTTCCTTCTCGATCACCATCTGTGCCACCCTATCACGGTTGGAACCATTCACCAGCACCTTGACTTTTGACCCTGCAGTAACTGAACATCATCTCATTGGCCCCTCTGACCCAAAAACTCGGGCGTTTCGCCGCGCTCGACCAGGTAGTAGGCGTTGGTAGGCAGGTTGTCTCGACCGCTTGAGAGGAAGATATGGCCTTGCGCCGCTTGCGCCTCCACGGTGACGATGGTGCTACGCTACGACCTGCTTACTCCGCAGCCACCTCCCTATGGAGGCATCCCGCTTTTCCTCTTGGCAGTTTACCTCTCACTTGAGCCATTTCCTCCAAACCTGAAGCTGCGAAGCCATCTTTCTGACGGTTGCCAGCCTCCACCAGCTGCTGCCCCTCGGCCCCAGCCTCAACCAAGGCTGATCGTTGCAAGCGTGGGGGCGTGGTCCGATCTGCCAGCGATGGTAGCGACCAACCACTTCGGTCAACGCGGCCTACCACCAACCGCTCGAGGTGGCCGAAAGATTTTTCATCAGGGATGTCCTTTTGGGCCCCCTCCCCAGGCCATCTGGGATTCCCATCTGCTCGATTCCTGCAGGCCATCCCGGCCATTGCTACTGAGTTTCCTCTACCTCAGGCCCCAGCTTTGACGCCATGACCAGCATCGGACGACTGCATGGAACGAGTGGGCAACATGGCTAGAAAAAATGTGTCGTGCCCAATAGTGCCCAAGCGCATGGTCCAAACATGTCATGACAACGTGCTCACACACAAGCACTGTTCATGCGCAAAGTGACACAAACGTTCAATGAATGGGCCCATAAAGCAAAATTTGTCAATATTTGTGAGATCAGAGAGAAACTCACATTTGGTTGACGTGTTCATGCCAAAATTGCGTGGAAAGTTTGTTGTAACATCCCCCAGTGGCTATGTTCCAGGGTGCTTACTGCAAACCAAGCTGGGGTTGGGAAGCACGGCTCATTGTTTTGTGGGGCAGAGCCGCCTGTCACTCCTGTTAAGATTATCAGCGCGAAGTCTTCTTGCTGACGAAGTTGCAACTGTTGGTGTTTTCTGCGCTGACGGCGGCTTGACTGGGGGTGATGTTTTTTGAGATTCACGTGCGCATAGGTAGGATCGTTGAACGCAGTACTGCGTAGGAATAGGATCACTGTCACATGATTGGATTATCAGAGCACGATCGGACTGCATGGCGACAGTGCTGAAGGTAGATGCCAATGATCTCCTTGCTATACCACCTGGCACCGAGATCGAGATGACTCCGCGGGACTCCATTTTTCCAGAGTGCCGTTGCAAGTTGGATTTTGCAAAAACAATCAAAACACCATGGCCATTGGGTTAGTAATCTTTGCCAGCCGGATTTTTGAGGCATGCATGCCCACCTGAGATGAATTCAATTTGTTGACCTTCATGGATTGCTATTGGCAATTGATTGCAGACCCCTTGTGCAAGTCACAGGACAACCAGAATCAGGAGGAGCTCACAAAGCCTTTCCCTTTGGCTGCTGAGTCATGCTAGTATGTCATAGGCCATTGGATTTAAAGCCGTTTTTTGACTTTGCTAATCGGCGGGGTGTGTGTGTGTGTTAAAGACATTTGACTTTGGTGCGTTAAAGTAAAACGGTTGCCGATGTATCAAGGTGGGGTGCTGATCAGCGAGATGCAGAGTGGATCTCTTTGAAGAGGACCCCGTTTGATCGAGACACTTTCGGAACATGTCGAGTATCCTGAAGCACGTGCGAAGAATAGAATGTATATTGGCTGGTCATTATTGGTCAACTTTGCAAATTTGAAGCTGGGCTGAAGAAATGCCACATGTGTAACAACGTGACCCTCACATCTCACTCACAGGCAAATGGCGAGTCAAAAGAAAGCACATGATGAACGCTAAAGGCTAAGCTTCCATGCCAAGGGAGTTTGTCAGAGTGATCAAAAGCATGGCAGAGAGGGTGAGGGCAAAAATGAGCAAGAGAGAAAGCGAGAGAGAGAGAGAGAGAGACAGAGACAGGGACAGAGCGGGTCTTAGTCCACCGGATCCAACTGGTTCCAGAGAAACATTGATTTTAGGTTGGCTGACGGCAAAGCATTTTCCTGGCATCCGGGAGTTTGCCGGGCTCCCTAGTTGTAACATCTTGCACTTCATCCAGCAAGTGTCAATCAAGCAATTGTTGCTTGCCGGCGTGTGGCGGGAGGTACGGAAGTATGAGCTGGCCAATCAGGCGAACAACTGGGACAGGCCAGCTGCATTTGGCAACTAAAAGATATTGCGCACCGGTCCGTACGGAAGTTAATCCATACTTTCTTTCTTACTGTTCCATGATGCCGTGGGTAAAAGATTGGAGTCAGCAAATGGTATACATATATCATATATCGTTTAAAGACGGAACATGTTAAAGTGCAAATATGCTGAATTGGTCTTTCAAACTTCTATCAGAAGCCAGATACATCCTTCATGATCATGCCCGTCAAAGTTCTCCATTGCACTCGAGTTTCAACGTGTGCCGTGCACAGGGCTGTTGACAACGTTACCCTGAAAGTCGACAACGCCGAGCGACAGAAGGGGCAGTGCGGTTCCACGGTGCTAACTCCGACTTGTGCCCACACATATACTTTCCTTGCTGCCCATCCACGACAGGCTTTAGAGTGTGGTGAAAGCCAGGCAAAAATGATGCTATAAGCTTTTTGCACACATTTTCATGATGCCAAAGAGCCAAACCCAAGGTCCTGACCTGTTTTTGAGCTATTTGTTCTTGTGTTGGTTTGAGACTCTCAAAAAGTCCACTAGCCACCTACTGACTGCTTTCAAGGCTTGGTGAAGTTGCTGAGCTGCGAAAGGAGGACGTGCAAGCAGTTGCTGCGAGCACAAGGATGCACAAGGCCACAAATGAATGATAATAGCACAAGGCTGCAATTGTTTCTGGGAAACAATTTGGACAAGACCTCATGATATATAGGTAATATTGGTGTGAGACCCCACTGTTGCATTAGGTACTGGACTGTTTTTTTACTGTATTCGATACTAGACTGAATACACACTAACGACGAGTAGATGCCCGGACAATAAGCTCATGGCTACCAGCATCAGCGCTCTCAGGAGCTTCGTCAAATCTTTCCAATTGTCCAGCGCTTGCAGTGGACCAAGTGGTCAGGCGAGTGGGTTAACCAGACTCAGAACAAGATAACATGTGGTCGTGGTCACAGAGTGCCATGCTTTCGACCAAATCTTACAGCTTACAGGTTTGGCATTCCTCCGAGCAAACACCAAGTCTACTGCCAGTGCTTGCACCATTTGGCTTGGCTCAAGATGAAGGCTTCGAGATCTTCATGCACTGCGTAATTCGCGAGTATCCTTTGCAGGCACAGCGCCAGGATGTGCAAAGGAGTTTGGCCAAAGTGAAGTTGAAAACAAGTTGGTGGAGCTTGCAGCAAGTGGTTCATGTTTCAGCGAAAAAGTTGCTGCAGTGGGTCTACAGGCAAAAGGAATGGGACCAAAACATGAAAGCCAAGAGCCTTTCACGCCCAGAATGCCTTGCGCAACACAGTGCGGCCCACCAAGTTCCACCGCACACTCCTGCTGGGGGCTTGGGAATCGGCAGGGGACATTGCTTGACAACTGTCACGGCTCGATCCATTGACATGCGCAAAACGCTATTGGCTCTCTCAGGCACGTCTTCCGCGTCATTGCCAGTTTGGTTGGCGCCTGCATCGCAGTCACCTTCGAGGCCAGAATGCTCACCAAAATCTTCAGTTGACTGTGTTGCCATTATTTATCCTTCTGATCTCCCCTCTCCCAGTACAGAATGCTGAATGCCCACCTCAATATGTTTCCTGAACATTTGTGAGCCTTTGCAGCATATGTTCGCATTCTTGTCCAGCTTCTACTTCACTCCCTATCTTCAGACTATAGCCGACTATGGCCCAATCTGAGCAGTTCTTTGTCGATTTCGCAGAAAAGCAAGAAGCAAAGAACACAGCTGCTGCTGTTTTTCGTTCAAAATATCTTGGAATCCTGTAGAGTCTGTAGAGGTCAAAGCTGCACCTTTTCCACAGAACAAAGACCCAATGATCTCGCCAGTCGCATCAATGAGAACTTTGTAAACTGCTTTCCTGTCCTTTGGACCCTGTGTCAACTTGTCCAAAAAAGGAATCCCAAGAAGCAAAACAAAAAGCCATGTATCACGTTGGAACACCCTTGGGCTAACCTATCCTTAGTAAACTCCATTTGGATCTCCATCATTACCAAGTGTATCCATCAACCATTGCACCGCACTGCATGGTGCTGTGGCTTGTTTGCATTCACCAACTTTGTCCATCCGCACAGACCTTGATGTGCATGTGTCAGTATGCCACGAACCAGGACCCGTTTGTGCATACAACTCGATTTGGAGGGACATGTCATGCTTTACTCTTGCTTTGGACGGATGGACTGTAAACCTCCAAAGACACGCTTGATTTGAGCAGATGCAACTGTCCACTGTCCAGGCTCCGGTGGATGAAGAAGTGGAAGCCACCAGTCTGGGGCTCGTTTGCGAGCGGAGTCGCCTTAACAAGATACAATTGCATTTCATTGGTATTCATTGGTTCTTCATTTTCCTATCCCGAAACAGGTTGAGTGTACAGTGAACATGTCGCTTCGTGCTTGATTTTGAAAGCTCAGATTTTTGTGTTGTTGGTGGCTTCCAGTTTGTCCTTACGTTGAGCCCAATACTTTGAATGTTTGATATGCGTGAAGAACTTTAAATGCAGATCACACGTGTCATTGTATAGGATTAGTTGTACACGTGGCTTGATCGCAGCCCTGTTGCCAAGGAAAAGTTCGCAGTAGCGGAGCAAGGATGAGGGTAACCGATTTTGAGCTCCAGAGAAAAGCCCCTAGGTCACTGGGATCCCGGGAGCGTTTCAAGCCATAGATCTGGGGCCTTTGGAACCCAAATAGCTGGACTGGTGATGAACTGTTGTGAGCTGCACTCTGTACCCCATACATTGTGTCAGAAGGACATTATTGCGCGACAGAGATGGATGAAATCAGAGAAATCCTTCAGGCTATAGCACAGAGCACGCAAGCAACAACATCAGCAGGCGCGGCAGTTAAGAAGGCAGTGAGAACAACCACAGCAGGTTGGTCCAAGTTGATCACAAAGCCCAATCTATTTGACGACAGGCCACAAGAAGAAGAAGAGAAGCGTTCAGAAAGTGGTAATGGGTATTTGAGAAGTATTTGTGCTCAGTTGATGAGGCTTACATGAAGGGCTTGAAAGAGATTCATGACAAGCCAAACGAGAACTTTGACATGGACTTGGCAACTACAGCAGAGAAGACCAGGTGCATCAAGCCCTATGGATTGTTAGCTTCGTTGATGAGGGGCAGGACACTACAAGTGGTAAAAGCTGTGGCGGACTCCAGTGGATTTGATGCCTGCGGGAGCTCGAACGAAGATTGAAACCTACAAGTATTCCTGAGGTAAGCTTTGACTTTTGCTACACTAGAGTCTAGAGCAAGAGATTCAGAAACAAAGTCAGCAAGAGCAGTATGTTGTCTAGTTTGTTGCAATCGGCAGCCAGACTGGATGCATTCATGTTACGCCATTAGGAAGCAAGAATCCATTTCGTCTCACTGCGCAAGAGTTGATGAATTTCAGCTAGAATTTCAGCCAGTTGTCGGGGTATTCAGCAATCACCTACAGAAGTGACAATGAACCCAAAGCAAGACAGATTCTCAAGATGCTGGTCAACGCTCGTCATGGCCTAGGACTTCCTACAAGGTTGAACGCTTCAAAATTGGGAGATCGCTCATTTCTGTCAGAGAATACTGTTGACAGGGCGAGGAAGCTTGCAGGAAGTTTCATGGAAGGCTCGCAGTCGAGACTTGGCATCAAGATAGGATCAGATCACGCACTTTCGACCTGGGCAGCAAGACATGCTGGTGTTGAATCGGTATCAACCAGTCAAAGGTGCCACTCCATATGAACTTGTCTGTGGCAAGAGTTACCCAGGACTTCTAGCAGAATATGGTGAACCAGTTCATGGCTACATGAAAAGTCTCAACAAAGGAGAAGCTCGATGGCATCTATAGTATGGGAATTGTGGAAAAGCAAGATACCTGCGTCCTGACAGATGGTGTGGAAGTAGCCCTGAGCAAATGCGTCAGGAGAACAGATCAAGACTGGTCCAAATACTTGGCAATCTAGAAAAGCGTCAGGGCCTATTCATGAGAGTACCAGACAAACTTTGGAGGTCAAAGAGAAGAGCAGAAGCATTGCCAGTTGCGCAGACAGATATTCCTCGAGAGCATGTGATGTTGAAGTTCAAGGATGAAGACGCAGAAGCAGTCATGGCAAAAGCTCTTGAAGGAGGAAGTGATTCAGAGAAGGGAGAGGCATTATTCCCAGTGCCAAAACCGTTTCCAGGCCCGCTGGAAATCCCAGGAGAAACCAAAAAAAAGAGATGGAAATGAACTACGAAGCCAAGTGGAGAAGAAACACCAAGTAAGAAGCAGAAAGTTCTCTTTGCAGGTGAGAAGACACTTCAAAAGTAAAAGCATTCCCATCTACATCATTCCCAGGAGGCCAACCCAATCCAGTTACTCCTATACTATCTTCATTGGGGTCATCATCAGCGCCTTCGAGACCAACAGAAGAAGCATTTGAGTTGTTTGAAGAAGAAAGCCCTATGAAGAAACTCAAACCATCAGAGGGTTCAAGCAAGAAGTTCAAGATCAACCTGGTAAAAGTGGCAGGAGAAGGCTGCTATCCCCAGTTGCAGAAGAAGTTGATGAAGAGGACTGGGAAGAAGAAGGAGAAGAGGAAGGCAAACAAGATAAACTGAATGGATCTGAACGCTTGTGGCGTGATGGAGAGCATGAACCAGAAGAAGATCCAGAAGATTGGGTAGACCGAGTAGCTGATGAAGTTGAAGAGAGGAGACTCCAGAAGATGCGAGCGCTAGAGAAACCAGAAGGTAGCGCAGAAGGCATCAGTTGCCTGACTACACGCAAAGTGTATGACTGGAGAAAGGAACCTTATCACCATGGAGATGGAACATCAAGCAAAAGGTGGAAGAGAAGATCAAGACTAATAGTTGCAAAAGACGCTGAAGGAAAGAGAGATTATATTTTCTCACCAGCAACTTCAGGACATGTACTGAAACTTCTACCCACAATCTTCTTTCAGAGAGTCAGTGAGAAGGAAGAAGCAAGAGAGGGAGAAGGAGCATCTTCTCAAGCGCTAGGTTGTCTAGGTGTGAAAGATGCTTTCTCGCAAGTTCCACAGGAGAAACCTTTGAAAGTGAATACGAGAAGAGAGGAACTCTTAGTGAAAAGGAACCTACCTGGGCAGAGAGTTGGAGCAAAAGTTCCCCTTTGTCGTGGCGCAAAGTAGACCTGGGGCACAAGCTGACTTGGGTCGGCTGGGATTTTGTTTTTCAGCGCTGCGCGTGCGCTGAGCTCCCTGAACAGAAGCGATGTGTGCTGCTGGACACTTTGATGGCTTTCTGTATTTCACCAAAGAAAGTGCCGCGAGAAGAGCTTCAAGCCTTGATCGGGCGGCTTGTCTGGTTCACTTCGGGGGCGCGTTGGATTCGGCCTTGGCTGCAGCCACTTTTCTACGCGCTGAACAAACCAAAGCTGCGCACTCATGCCTTGGATGCTGTTCAAGTGGAAGAACTAGTGTCCAAGCTATCGCCGCACGCGCGAAGGCTGGCGGCTGCTTGAGCGCGGGGGAACCTCTTACAGATTTGCGAAGCGTGCTACGCACTAGATAGAAGCAGGGGAAGGTGTGGGTTCAGTTTGGTGAGCCAGGGCCGGCTCACATTCACTTCCAAGCACGCTTCGTTTCGGAGCCACTGAGAGGAAGTTCTTGGAAGCGCCACTTGTTTGGTGGGGTTGGGGGGCTCTGCTGCAGGCGCTGACCTGCCAGCTCTGCAGCATTCCCCCTTGGCGTTGGCGGTCCCTCCAAAAAAGGAGCGCGGTTGGAGAGGGAGAGTTGGAACCTGCAAACCCTCACCTCCCTGCATGCTCATTTCAGTGGCTGCAGCTTTGCTGGGTTGAGGTTGTAGAGGTGGTTGACAGATCTATTTGTCCCACCCTCCCTCCCCAGATTTGGTGACCCGTGGCATATCCGACAGCCCAAGTTGCTGTTCCTCTGGTGGAGTTTGGGGGGGTCTGCCGCGGGTGCTGACCTGCCAGCCCTGCAGCATCCCCCCTTGCCTTTGGTTGCCCTTCCAAAAACGGAGCGGGCTTGGAGAGGGAGGGTTTTGTCGGACTCAATTCATGTAACTGTCCTTTCACTCATTGAACTGTGTGATGCGCTTGATAAGTATTTGTCCGCGCACGTCAAAGTAGGCTTCACATGGGTATGTATGTTTGTAAAAAGGTGTCCAAGAAGATGGATGTGGGATTTTGGAGCTGTGCGAAACATACCCTGAAGCATCCCCCGGAGCGATCGATAATATGCGGCAACAACAGTGTTTGCGTTCTGCAACGTTATATATATATATATATATTTATATTTGTTTGGTTTGAACCAGAGTTAGTTGCAGAACGACGCTGAACCTGCTTCAAAGTGTTTTATGTGGAATTGTTGCTCAACTTCCTGGCGTAGGTCAGCTTGTGAAACTGAAATTGGCTGAAGAAGAGTGCCGTGCCACAGTTTTGGAAACATGTACACTGCTGGCTCCCAACACTCATACTTGTATGTGCTGTCGGCTTCCTTACCGGCCTACGTTTTGGGCTATTTATGTTTCCATTCATCGATCTCATGATATGTAATGTTCGGTTTCACAACATGTTCATCGGTTTCACAACATTGTCATCGGTTTCACAACATTGTCATCGGTGTATGGATGTTGTCATCGACGAATCATGTGATGAAAATGGGGTGGGGGGGTTCTGATGGAATGAGGACGTGGATGTCATGCTGAGAACATCGTTATCGATTTCATGATATGTAATCTTCAGTTTCACAACATGATCAGCGTTTTCATAGCATTGTCATTGGCTTCACCACACCACAGGTTGTCATCGGTTTCACAACAGTCACCGGTGGTCACCCTGTTGCAATAAGCGTTCGAAGCGGTCTCTGAATGTGGGAAAGAAAAGGTTGGCAGCAGTTTGAAAATTTTAAAACAAACACTCAAACACCCTCGAAAATAAATCATCCCGTTTTCCGGACAAAAACCCTGGAAGGGTTGCATTCTCAAGAAATGGTGACCTGGTTTCGGCAACCCGTTTTCGCCGCTAAAATTTGTTTCTTTGTGTGCAAACGCACGAAATCAGCCAAAACGTGGGCCGTTAACGAACCCGGCGGGTTGTATGTGGCCTTTCAGGCACAGCGACCTGGGACTTGTTCCTTCAGGCAGTGACTATGTTTGTTCCTGAGTCTTTTGCGGAAGCAGGAAAGTGGTCAATGTCCTGCTGCATTTCGAGTGCAGACTGCTGGCAACTAATCTAGGCTACAGCAGCTGATCCACTTTGCAGGATGAGTCAAGCTCGGCTCTTGAAACCGAGGCCCATCACTGGGAATACCATCCTTTGTGCCTTTTTGGGAATCTTGTTCAGCTCCACCGTGCGGGTCCTAGATGGTCCTTCTTTACGCAACAGAATGCAGAGACAGTTCGACGTCGACTCGTGCACGTTGATTGAAATGCCAGAGGTGACACTTGAAAAACACCTGTGTTTTGCAAATGAAGTGCAACAAGGCTACTGGGATGGGATGGGATTGGAGTTCAGGAGTTGACTTTGTGCTGACCTAGGTGAAACGATTAGTGCTGAGGCTGGGTTATTGTGAATTGTGACATGTTGTGACTAGCTTTTTTTTCTGCACAAGGACTTCATACAACATGGCAAGCAAAAGAAAGGATGCTGCATACACATATAGATATATATATATATATTAATTATATTTAATTATAGATTACTGAGGCAAGTCCAGCAAGGGCAGTCTACCAAGTGGGCCAGGTTGTTCTACCGCCATGCCATTGCCTACAATCAGCGTCCCACTACTTCTGTGGAAGCAAGAAAGTATCAGCTGAGGCCAAGGGGCAGACAAGCATTCATTGTTCAGCGCGTTACTAGAGGTCCATACTCCATACAAGCCCTTTCTTGTTAGTGACATTGGACTTGACAGTGCAAAGTTGGTTGCCATTGAACCATGCAAGTGGTAGACAGTGGTGCCAGCGCATCAGATTTCAGCTGTTCCCTCAAAAGTGTAAAGCTCGCAGGTATTGGCACGAACTTGCAGAGATGGGCAAGTGGACTTGACGGGATCTAAGTGGGTGATCACTTTGCATTTGCAGTAGTAGTGTTGCATTGTATCCAGTGATGGGACAAGATTGTACGACTGCAACGGGCTGTAATCCATGTACTGTACATTTAAACGCCTAAGCTAAGCATCTGAAGTTTGAGGTCAAAGGTAGCAATGTGTTTGTGTGTGTGTGTTGGTTGGTTTTGCAATGATGCATAGGGGTTGCGTGGCAACAGTGAGGGTGGAGAAATGTAGAGAACGGTCGTATACAGTCGTTTTTGAAGCGCTTTCGATCGCCTGCACGATCGTCTATTGCTTTGCTGCGTGATTTGGTCCAACTGCGCTTGTGCATAAACTCGGGCTCAAAACCCTTGTTTGCGGAAAGAGTCGAGTCTACCCCAGATTTCTCCAGGACTAGTTGTTCGTGACAGGTCTTCCATTGCCCCAAGAGTGCATGCGCGCTAATGTACTATATTGTACTACATAATATTGCTAAGTTGTGCCCTGCCTTGGGCCTTGTCGGCTTTGGGGTCGAACGACACTTAGAACTTGCGAGTCGACCATCGTTGACCAGGCATCATTGGAAGCTTCTTGGGCTTCGGCAGCTCCGTGGCCATGTGCATGTTGGGTGGCTTAGATGGGCTCACCATGTTTTACGCATCACTACGCACTTGCACGTGTGTAATCCTTTCAAAGGCTGGTCGACAAACCTATGGTTTTAATTTGTGAGTTTATGTTTGGATCTCTTCGGGGGTTGAAGAGCTTATTGATAGTTTGCGCTACAGAGAGCACAAACTGGCTCTACTTTTGGTCAGGCTGACTCCACAGCCACGTGCAGCAGTAGCGTTCCAAGCCTTCTGGTTGTCCTTGTGTGGATGCCTAGTGGATGAAGAAAGGAATGCGTGTAGGTGAAACAAAGTTGGGCCAAGTGCCTTCTTGTTTGGGCCGTCAAGGTTGGGAACTCATTGGCTGCTGCCACTGATTCGCGGCGGTGCTTGTGCAGTTGTGCTCATAACAGCAAGAAGCAAGGCCATTGGGCCACCACGAACTGTCACTGGCACTTTGATCTTGACAAGGGTCCTATTTGACAGCATCCCTGGGCTTGTGCAGGCAACCTTTGACGGTTGGCTGACAGTTTGGCCGTTGCTTGGCTGATAATCACTGTGCTCCACAGAATCTCTGAACGTATTCAACTCTGATAGGTCAGAAGTCTTTAATTGAAAATCCGCTGTCAGACCGTCATTCTGCATGATGTCGTTGTTTTAGCTTGGCATATTTAAACCAGCAAGGAAGACTGTTTTTCCGATCAAAACGGTATCTCAGGGGCTTCATGAATTTTGCTTACGTCGGTGTCAAGACCACCGAATTCATGGCTGCCACCTCAGACTCAGAGTGTTCAATCAGACACCCACACCTCCACAATTCGAGGTAGAAACTCATATTTGGCAGGTTTGGCGTGCACAGCGCATCGTTGCAGAGGAAGAACTTCTGCTTCAGGCAACTTGAACTTGACAATATAAAGCAAAGGTCAAAAATTGAAAAGCATGCTTGTCGTTAACGCATGTTGACATAAAGGCCAGTCAAGTAAGTCACAACAATGCGTCCGCATGTTTTCTGTTTTTCCTTTGTGGAAGGTTTATCCTGACATGCCCAGCATTGGTCGGAAGGCCAGTATTGAGCTTATGGCCAGACAAGCTAGTTTGACTATGTTTGCTCGTTAAGTCTCAACTGGAACAAACTGAACAATCGAGCAAATGATTGATTCCAGATATCATAAGGTTCAATAGTGTGTTTGGATTCTGCAAAGTAAGTCATTGATAGAATATCATGCAGCAAAGGAACAGAACACATGAAGGTTATCATCATCATTGTAATCATTTCCTGTACGGATGCCGCAGATGTTTTCATTTGAACCGTTCCTCCCGTTGTGAACACCAGTTACGCGATCCTGACGAAGAGGAGGAGGTGGATCCACCGCAGGAGAGTGTGTTCTGCGATGTACATAAAGATATGTAAAGAGTTTTTGCACCAAGAGATGCCCACTGCAATTGCGGGCCCAGCTCCAATGCAAGAGTTATATACGTTGTTTGCATGCAGGTCATTGAACCATTACCACAAGCTGTGCAAGTTCTCCGCCCAAATCTAGCAAAGCAAGTTTCTTCTCAGCTTTGACACACTGTTGTAAGGACGGCGGCGCTTGAGGCTGGTTTGGGTCACTTTGAGAAAGTAGCTTGGAATATGTGTTGAAAGGTTTGAAATCGCAGATGGCTTTTGTTGCCCATCAAGTGGTGTGACTTACAATTCAAACCCGGCAACTAAAGCGGTGGCTAGAAGGCTATCCAATGTCCTGACAAGTTTCAGAGGTTGCACAGTGACAGGACAAAAGGCATATGCAATTTGTCCATGAAGAGAAGTAAAAAGTATGCTTCACACTGAGGAAACATGTCAAGCAAAGAGACCTATAAACGTGTCTTGACAAGAAAGGTCTGTGATTTGAAATCATGAACCTGTAATGTGGAACCTCTTGCATAGCCACTGGATCATCACCAGAAAGAGGCCGTGCGGAAAGAACATACATGGTAAACACACGATAAACATGGTTCTATACTCGTGTATTCACGACTAAGCATTTTAGCAAATGCTTTTTGCACCTTGTGGAGTCCAAGCGGTTCATTGCCGGTGAAGGTTTCGTGTGGGACAATTGCAATCGCCTTTCAACTTTGAAGTCGTTCCTTTTCTTTCACCTTTCGACGGCAGGTTGCGTGACCTGGATCGTTTCACCAGAGACCTCGCAACGATGGCGCGCAGCTGGAGCCAACGAGCACCGCAACCCCCATTTTTTTCGCACAGCTTCTTATTTGATGGATTGTTGTGTGGAATTCACATGCTAAGCAAAGCTGTTTGAGATTCAATTGGAATTCATAGCCAAGACCGTAGCTTTAGCTCTTGTGCTTGCTCGGCAAATGCCGAAAGAGGCAAGGTTGATGCGACACTTCCAAATAGAGTTCGCGCGTGCGACATACATTGGCGGTTCTTGTTTTGTTTGATACAAATTGGTTAGAGTCAGCAGCAATACTACTGGCAGTAGCAACCCTGATTCGCAGCCGAAACAAAACCAAGCAGAAACGATCCCTGTTAGCCTCATTGTGGTTTTCCAAAACAACAGCCGCAATTGCTTTTCCAAAACATCGCCGCTCTCCATGTTGTAATCCAGAGAACGAACATTGCAAGAGAAATAGAGCAGTGTGATGTATTTTTTGACATCACAAGAAAACACATTGCTACTGAGTCAGCTGAAGATTGAAGATATGTATGAAGATGTATGTATATATTAAATTATTTGCAAGATAGGGAGCGCCAGCACGACATGGCTGGAGCTTGCTTCTAGTTTTCCTGCCAAGATAGTTCAAAAGACAGGACAAGCAAACCATAATGTCCCATTGTCAAATAAATACAAAGACGGCTCTCCGTTGTTTGATGCCACCAGAATGTAAAGAGGAATTGGAGAAGAGAAGCTCATTTCAAGAGAAACGAGAAACGCAACTTGCCAACCAAAACTTATATAGCTGGAAGGACTTGCCTGCCAAGAGAAGACTAAGTTTTGAGTAAAGATGAAGTGCAACGCGATTCAGGCATGTATAATGTGTTTCTTTATATATATAATATAATATATATACATGCGGAAAGAGTATATAGAGTTGAGAAGAGAGGCATGTGTAATGTGTTTATATATATAATATATATATATACACATGCAGATTTCAGGGCTACGCCCCTGCCGCCGACCCCTAGAGAAACAGGAAACTGGTAAGTTAGACAAAGGCATCTGCTGCGCAAGCAGGATGCGCTGCATAAGCGCTGCCTTTGCGTAACTTACCTAAACGTTAGTTTGCGTTGGTCTCCCAAATCAAATCCTTGCACGAGTTGTTGGCATCAGGTAGCTTTGGAGTGCAAATTGTACAAAGACAGAAGTATCTTTCTCCCTTGTTACTCAGAAAAGCACACTCTCTCTATAGATTTACATACATATATATATATATATACGTATAAGACATACCAAACACAGCATGGCCAGGATGATAAGATAGCATAAGAACATGTGAATATATATATATATATGCATGTGTATGTATATGTATGTATATTATGTATATATATATACATATGTTTGTATCTGTATGTATAAGCGGATATGTCATTTTTCTGCAAACTCTTTTCCTGAAAGTTGACAGAGTGTTCTTGCTCAGAAAACAAGCGAGCCCTGAAGAAGCTTAAGTATTTGGAGGTTTGATTAGTTAGGGTTTCAATCAACCGTTTGCTGAATGCCCTGGAAGAACAGGCGCAAGAATACATTGGACAGCAGGTGGCTCATGGAGCCATGTAGCAGCAATCTAACTGGGCAATCGACATCAGGCGCGGCTCGATATTTAAG